GACAAAGATGTTAGAATGCAAACTGTAGGAGGAAAAGCTGAATGAACTAGTTATATTTAGTTTGGTGAAAAGGGGATTGAGGAGGGACATGATAGCAGTTTTTATATATTTTGAAAGGTCATAAAGATGGAGAAGAATAACTCTGCTTCCAGGCTGCAGAAAGTAGGCTCCAAAGCAATGGATTTAAATTGCAGCAAAGTAGATTTAAATCTTAGGAAAAACTCCCTACTGTGGCCACAGCAGGACAGTGGAACAAGCTGCTTAGGGAAATTGTGGAATTTCCTTCACTGGAGATTTTAAAGCAGGAGCTTAATAACATTTGATAGGTGTAATTTAGGAATTCATGTTGTTTCTTGGACAAGTCTAAGTGATCCTTTTGCCAGGTCCAGACGTTATACTTTTACTAGTATAAGTGATCAGAAACCAGTCTATACCCATAACAGAACATAAGTTTGACACACAAAACCGGTCTATACTGCTAACGGAGATTTGGTACACACAGGCTTAAAAATGGTGGAACCACCTAAGATTTGCCCCCACCCCTCAAAGGGCGAATGTGCGTTCTGTTCACTACTGATGTAAACTACACCGCTTACAGAAAACCGTGCTACTTAGATTGATTCTGCGTTTGGCTTTTGAATGTCTTTACCTAGTCTTAAGCTCTCTCTCAACCCGTGGATTCTGTGTAACAAGTAATGACCTAACCTTGGAATTTGCATTGGATATATTTCCATGATATTTTATGCATTTATGTTTATATTAAGTGGAAGTGTGATGGGACTAAATACATTTCACTTGGATCAGTATTCTGCAGGCCCTAAAATAGAGGAATGGGTCCAGCTGCTTTTATTACAAACAAATCATCGTATTTCAATAGATGTGTGGCCAACTTGTACGTTCAAATTTCTCTTTTACGAATATAGGACACTTGCTCCTGGGAAGAAATAGGGGTCTGGAAGGCTTGAAGATCCAACAGTTGTGTACATGCAGCTGCTATAGTAATACATTGTTATTTAGAAAAGTGGCCTTTGGGTGTAGCAGCTTGTTTTAGCATATGTCATTCATTTATTCTTCAAAATTTCTTCCTTCACCATTCTTTTTTTCTTTTCTTTATTAAAAGGAAAAAAACCCAAACACTATTATGTTATGCTTAGTTGGGCTTCTGTCCCCATTCACTCCACTTTTTTCATCCTGCACACTGAATGAGGCATGGTACTTGCAGAAATACTATCAGCAGATCATTTGACCATATAATTAGTAGGGGTGTGTGAAGTGGGCCCTATTCAATTTGGATTTGGATTCAGGACAAATCAGGGACAGTGATTTGATTCGTTGATTTGGATCCCTGTCCCTGATTTGATTTGGCCGAATCCAAATCTGAAGATTCAATGCTAATTCAGAGAATCAGTGATTCAGACACAGACACAACTTTAAAAGTTTTTTCTACATACCTTGAGGTACCAGACGCAGCTCATGATTGCTGCGATGCTGGGGTGGATGGAGCATCCCAAAGGAGTGTGGGGATGCCCTCCATGTGCTCCCCCCCTGGCTCAGTGATCGGCTGCAGGGGGACCCTGGGTGCCACCCCAGACCCAGGAGGCACCAGTTGCCAAGCCAGAGGGGTGTGGGGGTGGGGGGCCCAGCGTGCTCCCCGGTGGACCAAGAAGTGGACCAGAAGTGATTCTCCTCCACTTCCGGGTCTGCTGCTGAACGCCCTGGGGAGCCCCCTGCACTTCTGTGGGACACTCCATGCACCCCAGCATCACAGCATTCATGAGCCCCTGCTACCTAGAGGTATGTAGAAAAAACATTTAAAGCTGTGTCTATGACTGAATCTCCAAATCTCTCAGAATCAATTCGGAGGGTCCCGATTTTCCATTTGGAGAGATTAAAGGGTCTCCTGATTTGATTCAGATTTGGAGATTCGGCCACTGAATAAGGCTGAATCTCCACCGAATTGAATCAGGGACTGAAGCTTTGCACAGCCCTAATAATTAGAGATTGACCTAGGTTCACTTGCTTCATTCTGTGAACATTTTTAAAATATGGTTTTGAAAAAGACGTTCATGGAATGAAGCAAGTGAACCTGGTTTAAACTGTAATTATATGATCAAATGATATCCTGACAGCATTATGTTTGGTATGATGGAATGAATTGAAATATTGAAAATATCTTTCTCTGATTTCAGTTTTTCAGAATCATTTTTGGGGAGAAATCATGCTTTAAGACTTTCTCAGAAGATGAACCACAATCTAAGTGATATTATCTTACTATTAGTAGGTGGTGGCAACTTGATCTTTATTGAGTCGCCTATTACCCTGGCATGAAAATGTTGAGTTCTGGAATCAGATGTACCAGGAGCCACTAGGAAAGAATATTCTATGGATAATACTGAGTATATCCTAGAACAACGTGTTTCTATGTCTAATTTATCTGAAATTATTGAATGCCATTCTGTCTCTCTGCATAGATTTGCATACGTTTTCCCATTATTAATTATATTATAGCTATAAGAGAGAAATTAAAGGGTAGTGTTAAGTTTATTAAATCTTTCCTGTCATCTTTTTGAAATGCAGTGATAAAGACTGTTTCATATAATGATACAAAGAAACTGTGACCCTTAGTCCCTCAAGTTATTCTTAACTGTAAGGACAGTTTTTTTTTTTTAAGTGTGTGCATCTGTTTACATGAACAAGTTTTAATATCTCTGAGTAGAATATGCCTCATATTCTTAATGCAAAGTATTCTGTGTATCCTACCAGGGTTCACGTACAGTTCAGGGCTTCTGACAGAGAAAACATTTATAAGTTTTTTTTTTTTTTTTTTTTTTGTTTGTTTTTTGTTTTTTTTTCTCTTGGCTGTGCATAGAATGAGATACTGCAGTTTCTCACTTGCTACAGGCCCACTGATTAAGGCACACACTTTGTTTTTGGAAGGTGGAATGAATTAAAAACATCTTGATCTTTCCTTGAACATACTGTTACATATGGCCTTTTTAAGGCTAAACAAGCATCTGTCGTTGGCTGGGGATGGCAGGGGCAAAAACCTGTGGCTGCTCTGTTAACTTCGTAGTTGCAGTATGTGGCAGACTCTGCTGGCTGCCCACCTGGCTTGAGAACAGCAGACAAGCAGTTCAGCTCAGCTAGCAGTGCCTGCTGGATCAGCTGAGGGCCACATCCGGCTGGAGCTGAACTGTTTGGCCCCTCTTCTCCAGCCTGGTGGGCCCTCAGCTGACTCGGCAAGCACTGCTGGCTGCCCACTGGCTTGAGAAGACAGGCCAGGCAGTGTAGGTTTTGCATGACTGAGCCCTTCTACTTCTCTTCTCTGAGAGGCTTGTTTTCTCATTTAAGACACCCCCAATTATCAGCAACATTTTTTGGGGTGGGGGGGAGGAGTGCATATCATCTTGCATAAATACAGTATGTTGAGAGGGTAAATGAAGTGGTGGTGTATTTGGCTCATTGCTGGATAAGCTCATTGCACACTATATGAGATGGGGAATGCGTGAGATACTCTTGTCTGTACAGGGCTGGTGACGTTCTGCTGTTCTTTGGGAGGTGGGTATGTAGCAGCTAAAGAGTGGTGATAAGAGCCCTTACTGATGATAGGTGAATCGGTAGGACCCTTTCTTCCTGGTTACTCTGAAAATGATATATCCTCACTTCTGGTTTCTAGGAGGTCACAAACTGTTTTTTTCCTTTCTAGAAGTAGACATAGGGGTTTTTTCCTTTCCTTTTCTAATACCAAACATGATGGGGCTCTGCTTTCTGATTGTCAAAGATATTGGAAGTTCCATGGTGCCTTCTCTTTCCATATGTTCTGACTTAATGTCTGGTTCCTCCTTCCCTTACTCCATGTGATTTTAGAACAAGAAAAATCCTAATGTCTCTAATCAAGCTGATCTTGCAGAGAAATATTGACTGATGCTTACTTCCATACTAGAGTGAGAATAGTTACTATGACATTACCATTGCCCCTCTTTCAGAGGAAGTGTGTCATGAAGCACAAGATCAGTAACTTAATAAGAATCATCATGAGTCCTTGGTGCCATGGGTTGGAATCAAGGGAAGAGGCTGAAGGACAGATCTCTACATCAAAGCTGCTTAATAGTCCTGCCCTCAGTACTGTGACTTTTGTCACGGTGGCAGCAACAGCAGTAGCCGATGACAATTAACAGCATCCCTGATGCTTGTTTCTGCCAAATCTGGAGGCCCCAGAAGCAGCGGAGGCTGGACCAAGTATACATGGGATCCTATCTTAAAGCACCATCGTAGGGAACCAATTTAAATCAAATGGTTCTTAATGGCAATACTGCTGCTTTATTGGGATGGTAATTACAGTTAATTGGGAGTCTACAAGTGATTTAGTGTTTTGTGATTCCTCAAGTGTCTTAATTTCATGCTGACTGTATTTCTTAACATTGTCAGTGTTCAGTCCCTGCTTAGCAATGATATATGCAGAAAGAATGAAGTGCTTCTGTGCATCTTACTCCTGGAGAGCTAGCAGGTTCCCTCAAAGATGCATGCTGCTCTGCTGAGAATTTCACATCTGTCTGTACTTCAGCTTTGGGCTGGGTTCAGAATTCCAAATTTGGTCCCTTGTTAATTGCAAATTTTTAAAAGAGACCAAAAATGTTGCAGAGAATCTGTTTTTGTAAGAAAATAGAAAAGACTAAAAATATATAAGCATATTCCATGTGTTGTACCTACATAAGACATCTTTGTCCTTTTCAATCAGAGGGAATTTTTCATACTGCTGTTTTTGGTTGAGCATTTACTTTAATACTGAGCACATCTTCTTCAGGGACCAAAGTCCACTGTTTTCCTGTCCAGTTTTGCTTTAATCCACTTATTCTGTGAGGAATCAATAACATCCACACACCTCTTTTTGCTTTTGTTCACAGTATACTAAAAACAGTTTACTGTAGGTAAATGCAGTTTCTGTGCACAGTTAAGATGCTATAAAACCAATAAACAATTATTGTTTGTTATGTTCTCAGGAATTCTAGAGGTTTTGCACTGTGTGTTGGTGGAAAGCCCAGAAGCTCTAAACATTATTAAGGAAGGACATATTAAATCAATTATATGCCTTCTCGACAAACATGGAAGAAACCATAAGGTATGCAAGATAGTACTGATAATTTAACTGTAATTTGATAAACTTAAGTAAATAAGAGAAGCCCGGTGTTTCTAGTCAAAGTGAAATCGTTATTTATTTAATAATATAATAATATTTAAAATTAAACTTGCATGAAAAGGGGTTGCAGATATCTTCTTAATAAGATAAAGGGTTCATTTGGGCTTCTCTGTTTGCATCACATGCAAAAAGATGAGGTATCAGTCTTTTTGCTGATGTGCAGATTTGCTGATTTCTAATAATGTAATATGAAAAAATTGGTAGCGAACTGAATTTCTTTTATAGGTTTTAGATGTCTTGTGCTCTCTCTGTGTATGCCATGGAGTAGCTGTGCGGTCCAACCAACATTTAATCTGTGACAACCTCCTACCAGGAAGAGATCTTCTCCTACAGACACGCCTTGTCAACCATGTGAGCAGGTAAAGGCCAAAAACAACGATTTCCTAAATCTATATGAGCAAATCCAATAGCATTTCAGTACCTGTGCCATATTTTTAACTCAGCAAAATAATTGCCATTATGAGTTTCTTTTTTTTAAAAGACAATACATTGACTTGCATAATATGGTTTCTAAATACTATATAAAATGTACTCATCTATATTATTTAATACAGGGACCATAGCCAGGTTACAAGGTAAGGCAATCCTAAACTGCACTAACTGAACTCAAGACCACTATTCAAGCATTCTAGCAATTGGGGTGCCATAGTCAGTTTCCTGATGCATCTCACTCTCCTACACTAAAGGCATCTTGGAACAGGAGAGAATCTGGCTTTTCAAGTAAAAAAAAATATGTTTTATACTCAGCTGTGCTTCTTTTTTGCTTTGTTTACTTAGGTGCATCCTATAGGCATAGAGTGGAAAGAAAAAATTAGGGAGAAATATAAATGATAAGTGGGAGTTAGTTAATAATTCTTAATTATAGTTTCCAGGAAACACAATTCTGCAATCATGCAAAAAGGTTTCTTTGGTTTACCTGATTGAGGGGGAAATGAAAAAAACAAAACAAAAAAATACTGGCATGCATAATATTAGGATGCTAATAGAATGAATATAATTTGGTAATTAGGGAATGCTGACAGGAATTTGAAGAGTATCTGCCTTGGGTTTCCCAAGACACCATTTACCTGGGATGCCCAGCCTTGTATAGTTGCTTGGACTATCCCCTAAAGTCAGTCGAGTTGTAGCTTCTAGAATGGGTTAACCTCTAGATCTTTGGAGTCTGAGACCTGGATTTTATTCCTTTACCCTCCGTCATTATCTGTGGCTTTCCCTGAGAGAAATACAATAACCGGAGTCATTCTGCCCTGAAGACCAAGTAAACTCTATTTGGGGGGAAAGCAGCCCTACCTCTTCTCTCTAACCATGGTCAGATCTAGGATTTTGGAAGGGAGGTGCAGATGGTATGATACATCATCATATATAATGCAACACAATTTTTTCCAGTTAAAAAGAGGGAAGCGGATTTACTAATATTGTAGGGGCATAGGGCTAAGATTAAAGCATAAACAAATATAACTGTGTTAGAATGTGCATTAATTAACTATATCATGTAGTGTGTATAAAAACAGAACCAACTAGGCAAAAATAATCAAAAGGTGTTATTTCATTAGTCCTGTAGTCATCCAACTGTATCACTGTACCTCCCTTGAACCTGCCTCATTTCTAACTTGGTGATTCTTAACCTTGTTAGACTTAAGGCCTGCATTACTAGACTTAAGGCACCCTTCAGAAAATTCCAGCTCTTTGTTTTCACTCCTTTTTTTTTGGATACAGAGAAATAATTGAGCAAAGAATTTTGTTCCAAAGAATTCAAAGACCCCACAAGGTCAGAACGTTTTTTAACACTATTGAGTCCTGTTTGAAATCTCTAGGTTTATCTTGTAAATCATGTCTCAAAACCTGACAGTGCTAGCATTTTGTGGCATGCCCAAGCACCCTTGAAAGGATCTCAAGGCACCCCAGGGTGGCATTGCACACTGGTTGAGAATCACTGTTTTAAAGTCTCAAGCTGCTCTCCTCCTGCCTACCTCCCTCCTTCCTTATATCTAGGCATCTCCCTTTTCAAGAACTTCTGTCAAGTTCTGTCTTTTCAAGGGCCTCTTTGGCTCCAGAAACAGCAAGGAATCTCTCCAGGTGCTTTTCTGGAGTCCACTTTGTGTGTCAGCACAGGTCAGTTAGCCTTTTGTTGCTTGAGGCTCCATTGTCTATTAATTGACCATTTAGACAAATCTCTACAGCTCAGCTAGAAGCACAATTAACTTAATCTTTCCCAGAGCACAACCTAGTTGGGGAAACTGGGCATTCAACATTATTATAATGCAGACATATGTAAACCTAAAATATTACAACAAACTATCACAGTATCAACAATGAGAAAAATCTATGTTAAGAACTCTAAGAAGTAATTCTTTAAATGTATCAGGAAGAAATGAAATCCTGGCAATGGCATGATGATGCACAATCACTTGTGAACGAGTTACATTATCTTCCAAGGATCTTAATAGTGAGTCCACAGATGGCTTTGTAGCCCAATTCTAGATCCACATGTCTTGTCATAGTGAGGACAGGTGTTTCCAGGAGGGATGGGCACTGTGTTGTGGCCCTGGTTGTTCTGATGTTCTTTTTGCCTGTTCCTCTTTTCCTCTTCTTCCAGTTGATGAGCTGTTTCAAAGTGTTGAGTTCTCTCCCAAAGAACCTACCTCCATTTTGGTTGGTCCTGAGCAAGGGTCTCTCAAGTGTTGTTGTCGATGTTGCACCTCTTCATGTTTGCCTTCAGGATGTTTTTGAAGTGCTATTGGCATATGTCATATGACAATAGTATATGTCTAGTACAGGAATGAGGGTAAAGTTTTAAATCATGATGCATAAAATACAGAAGTATTAAAAATTTATTTCTGTATTGGAAGGTCATTTATCTAGTAACAAAAGACAAGTCACAGTTATAAAATCAGAACTGTTACTCTGCAGTGGAGTAACGCTGAAAAGGATTTAGAGGCAGTGGTATACAATCAACTGAATCTGAACTTCCAAAATTAACGGTGCAACTCTGAAATTTTAATATGATCCCTGAATATATAGCAATACCAAGAAAGTAAACCCAAGAGGTATTATTTCTATATGCTGCATTTATAAGTTAATTATTAAAGAACTTTTGTCTTTAGTGACAAATTGGAAGATTCAGAAAAGAGCTGTAACAATGATTAAACATATAGCAAACTGTAATTTAAGAATTCTGTTTAGTTTATCTAAGAGCAGATTAAGCTATGATTCACCATGATCTACAAGTAACTGTATGGTGATATCTAATATTAAGTATTTCTGTTATCAGAGATCAGATTTGGTGGTCCTTTTTGGTTTTAACATTTATGAATCTACAAATGGACTTATGTACCTCATTTTAGATACCTGTACAGTAGGCAGAGTAATGCTTCTCACTAACAATTTTTTTTTAAGTCTTTTAAATCATTAGCAATTCAAACATGCTAATGTATAGGAATGACTTATAGACTCAAGACTTACTGAATTTTACATATTTCTAACTTCAAGACCAATCATTAAAGCTGCAATAAATTTATTAAATTATAACTCTACGTTACAGCACAGTATTTTAGTAAACATTCTGTAATATAGTTGTAGGGTATAAAATAGTAAATAGCATAAGTTTTCTTTTATTGCTGATAGTTGTACTTAAAAAGCAAATTAATTGCTGTTGATATTTCAGCATTGGCACTGGTTTAATTACTGAAGCTGACACTTTGGTTGAACTTCCTAGGAAGTTTTGTTCTTCTGTTTCAATTAAAAAACAAGCCTAAAGTCACTGGTAAACAAGACTGAGAAAAAGAAGTGCATAACTAGCATGTTTTTAGATGAGTTTTCATGGAAATCCATTCTGATTCTTTTGTTTTAAGCATGAGACCCAACATCTTCCTTGGGATCAGTGAAGGCTCTGCCCAGTACAGAAAATGGTACTATGAACTTATGGTTGACCACGTGGAGCCTTTTGTAACAGCAGAAGCAACTCATCTACGAGTGGGCTGGGCTTCAACTGAGGGCTATTCACCGTACCCTGGAGGAGGCACAGAATGGGGTGGAAATGGTGTTGGTGATGACCTCTATTCTTATGGATTTGACGGTCTTCATCTGTGGTCAGGTAAAACATGTTTATCATCTGGGTATAGGGATGTAAGAGTGCCATTTCCAGTAAGGTAGTGGTGTTCAGCAGAAAATGAAATGTATGGCAGTGTGCATTAATCTGAAAACATTCCATGCTCTAAAAAACAATGTCTATAAGACAATTTAATACAAATTCTATAGATGGAGTCATAATTTGTCTCAGCCGGAGGCTGTCATTGTTTTAGCTGTTCTCCCAACAGATACGCTTTAAAACTTCAAAGGTGTGGAAATGACAAGAATTCTTACAGCACTGGATTTCTAATTTCTTTATGATATTGTAACAACATGAGAGATTTAGGTTATACGTATTTTTTTTTTAAACTTTTGAAATGCTGATTTCAATGCAAAAGTTAGCAAATGCTTAAAAAACTGGCTAACAGGAACTTTGTATAATATACTACCATATCCATTGTCAGTCTGTGATGAATACTGACTTTCTTTGAAAATATAACAAGGAAAGTTTTGTTTTATACATTTTAAGAGTAGCTCTCCAGGTTTCTGTTCACTGAATCAATCTTGATAGGAAAAGGTATGGTTTCTGGCTCCTTTTTAAGATATAAATATTTTATTTGCCTAAGTTTAGGTTGACTTTAGATTGAATGTGTGCCTCAGGAGTGTTAAGGTCATTCTGGTGACCCAAGTCTGGCATACACTGTTGGATATTCAATCTTAAAAATGTCATTGTCCTAGAATGTAATTATTCTGAAATGAAATTTCCTATTCCTACTGAAGAGGCATTGTGTTCTAATGGTAGGGGAAACACTGGATATGCTCCAGCACACTGGGACTACTCAGTTTTGCTGTCACTTAGGCAAAAGCTCTGTTCTAAGCAATAGCAAATTATATGGAAAGAAAAGATGTTTTTCATAACACTTTGCTTAAGAAAGACTATGAACTGCACAGCGTCCATTTTATATTCTATTCTATGACTTTCTTCACATGCATCCTCTGTGTTGTGAAGCTTGTTGTACCTGTGCAAAGAAGGCTTACAAAATGAGCTACCATTTTTAATTTTCCCCTAAACTAGGTTTGAACTTAGTTTGGCCTGATAGGCTTCACCCCCCCACCCTCACCTCGTATCGTTCAGAGACTTTGAAGAGACCTCTGTGCAAACAAAACAGAGAAACAAACAAAAGGGAAGCCTTGCTCACAGCCCCTCTGAGCGGCTGCTTGACCTAGACTGCCTCCGAGGCTCAGGGCAGCCCCATTCTCTGTCTCTGCCCCACTTTTTATCTTTCAGTTCATATGGTCCAGCTCTTCTTCATTCCCCACACTTAGGTTAACTTCCTTGCTTGGGAGGCTTGTTGCATTCCCAGACCTGGATTCTCAGCCTCTGGTGAGTCCAAAAGGAAGTACTAAATGACGGTGCAGTAACAACAGTGCTGTAGTGGCACGTGTAGACACTCCCACTGAGTCATAAATTCGGTTAGGAATAGTAGTGGCAACATATATGCAATGCCATTATGGAAGCAGAAATAAACATATTTTATCTAACCCCTTAAATAGTTTACTATGAATGTATTGAGGTTTCTGAAGATGGGAGACAATGTGGCTGGATGCTTGGGCATCTGAAGAAAGTTCAGGAGGGAGGAAAGCTGTTCTCATTCTAGTGATTTGAGAAGAGAAAAATAGCTTCCTAATCAAGATTATAGGGAGACTAGCTGGTTAACACCCATGCTGTAGACAATGTTGGTTAAACATCTATTCTGGGAGCTAGTAGCAGTCACTTTGCTGATATATATAAAATAAGACTTCTCTTGGCACAATAATGATTATAGTAAAGTTAATCTCATTTACTTAAAATCTTACTTGAACACATCTGAGAGCTGTTTAAAGGGATGAAGATTACAATGAACTAACCAAATTAGGCCTTGTACTTAAAATTACTCTTGTGAATTGGGACTTAGTACTAGATAAAATAAAATCATTTTTCTGGCCTCTGCCAAAATCATGCCTTTCTGGAGTCATAAATGAGAGACAAAACTCAATAAGCCAATTTAGGGTTTGCTGTCTACAGGTTTTTTTTTGTACAGCATGGGCATAAATAAGCAGATGATCTTTAGATTGCCAGTATTTGTGCATTGATCCAGCAGTCTGGTTGGGGATTCAAAATCTCAAATCTCAGCAAGATTTCTGTAGCTTTACAATTTTATTAGTATTGTCTAGAGCATGGGTGTCAAAGTCACCTTGGGTCCTGGACTGATCCAGACCATGCGACCACCTTGCAGGATGGATCCAACCTGGGACATGGGATAGTCACTGCAGCAGCAGCTGCAGCCACTGTGGTAATACTGGGCCAAACAGGTACGAGTCAGGCAGCCATTTGGCATGGTGGTAGCATGCAAGAAGCGGTGGGCCAGGGGCTGCAGGATGCATCAAGGGCTGTCATACAGCTCTTGCTTATCCCCTCCTTCTGAAGACCATTTCCACTGGGGCCCCAGAGCCCTAGATTCCATGGTAGGTCCCACCCATCACCAGCCATGGCACCAAATGCCATGGATACCTGGTAGTCTGGCTGATCAGATGGAGCAGCTCCATGCGTCATATCTGGCCTGTGGGCCACTGTATCTTTGACACAATTGGCCTAGAGTAAATAAAACAAATTTCCTTCAGGCCTGGAATGACTCCAAGGTGTTAAATACTGAAAAACAAATTCACTTGTCTTCTAATCTATCCTAGAAAAATGCTAAATAGTAATAATAATACCATATTCCCTTGATTCTGAGACAAGTTTTTCCCCATTTAACATAGGGAAAACCCCTAATCTTAGAATTGTGTACAAAGGTAGTGGAGTGGAGGAAGCGGGTTCTGTGGCTTGGGCTCCAGCCCCTATGCAGAGTCAGGGTCATAGCTACAACTACTTCCTAGAACCCCCATCAGTTTGACACTACCTGAAATAATTTGGTATCATATGCAAACTTGGAGATTTTCATTGTGCACCCCCATTTTGAGGTCACTGATTAAAATGAACAAAATAGAGGCTAGCAGAGATCCCTGAGAGACTCCACTTTTGACCTCCGTTCATCTTGAAAAGTGACCATCTAGCCCTATCCTTTGCTTCCTGTCTTTTAACCAGCTCTCAATACACAGAAGAACATTCCCTCCAGTTCCATTGCAAAGCAGTTTTTTAAAAAGCCTTTGGTGAGGGACCTTGTCTAAAGCTTTTTGAAAGTCCAGGTATATTATGTTAACTGGACCCCCCCTTGTCCATTTGCTTGTTGACACCCTCAAAGAAATGTAGCAGCTTTGTGAAGCAGGATATTCCTTAACAAAAACTATATCAGCCTTTCCCAGCAGAACAGATTTGTCCATGTGCCTTCTGATTTTATTCTTTATTATAGATTCTACCAACTTGCCAAAGAAGGAAGTGAGATTCACTGGTCCGTAGTTTCCAGGATCATCTCTGCCACCCTTTTTGAAGATTGGTGTTGGCAACCTGCCAGTCTTCTGGCATAGAGACTGTTTGTAACAATTGGTTTCATACTGTTGCCAGCAGTTCTGCAATTTCACCTTTAAGTTCCTTCAGAACTCTTGGGTGAATGCCATACAGTCCAGGTGACTTGTTAGTGTTTACTCTTCAGACCCATCTGCTAGCAAAGATTGAGCTGGCACGGGAATTTTCACAGTGTGTTCTGCAGTCAACACCGACGCAAAACATTTGTTTAGCTTCTCTGATACAGTTTTATTATCCCTGAGTGCACCTTTTATACCTTGGTCATCAAATGGTCCTTCCAATCCTCTCACTAGCTTCCAATAAGAGTAATAAAAAAGCAGTTTTTATTACAAACTATAGCATTTTTTGGTAGACATTACTCAAATTTTTTTTTGGCCAGATGTTTTTTGCTTTTATGTTTGACCTGCTGGAGTTGGTAAATTTTCCTGTTTTCCTCATTCAGCACACCTTCCATTTTTTTGAAGGATGCTGTTTTTGAGGGATCTACTTTTCTGAGTCTGTAATCTGGTATTTTTAAGCTACCTGCAGGCTTTTTACATTTTTGACTGCTCTTTTAACTTATTTCTAACTTCCTCATATTTGTGTAATTTCCCTTCCTGAAGTTGTATCTTGCCATGGTGGACTTTTTCTTCTTGCTCCCTCTTGCTAGAATGTAGTTTTAAAACATCTGCCACTTCCTTTTAGTATATTGTTCCACTGATTAATCACTTTGTAAAAAATCGGGCCTGATTTCTAATTCAGGTTTCAGCCACTGGTTCTTGGATATGCTTTTTTTTCACTACATTGAAGAGCCCTTGTGGTGCCCAGGAAAGGCTTTTATGCACTGTAATCAAGCCACCTCTCAGTCTTTGTTTTGATAAGTGCGACCCAGTGGGGGGGGGGGATATTGCAATGACTCGCATGTCTGTTCACGTCCCCGTGCTACATGAAGTGTCTTTTGTTTGGTCTTTTCCCCTGGGTCTTAGGAGTATTTTCCCACAAAAGGGATGAAACAACTTTGTTCGTCCACCACAATTTGATCAAGAAAAATAAATATCTGAACAGGGAGGCTCCAATAATGGGAGATCTCCTTCCTTTCAGGTGAGGGGGAGAGGAGGTTCTCCTAGGGGTGTTACTGAGGGCTCCACCTCCCATACACCCCTTCCATATGCCAACTGTGATGTTAAATGGGTGATGCTTCTCAATGAAGGATCAGGTGCATACCCTGTGATTGTCCGTCATAGGCAATACATGAGACTGTCACAATGAAATTATAAACAAAGTCATGAACGGTCCCCACTTTAGGGTCACGTCCGTGTTGCCAATTTTGTATCAATAATGTTATCGGCAGAGTTAAAGTCCAATCTAAATCTAAATTCAACTCAATTATAACTATATATTGACTCAGGTGTACATGCTTCAAGTACCTTTAAACCTTGTGTATAACACGAATAACAAAGACCAGAAATAATCATTGTTCTGCCGTGCCCTTGGTCTGGCACTATGCAGGGTTCACATTCACACTTCTGCTCTAGGCTGCTCCTCACTACTCTGTGATACCACTGTCACCTTAGCTCTTCAGGCTAATGTGCCTTGTGAATGAGAACTCCTCTGAGTTCTCCCTCGATCGACTCCCCTGTCGGACCCCAGAGCTTCTTACTTCCAAGCTTATTGGAGTTAGAGGTCTCTCCTCTGCTATCTTCACCTGGCTTGGTAGCTCAGGCTATTGGCCAGGTCAGAGTCAAGGGGATTCTCTAGGCTGTCTCCATCCCGCTCTGACACCCCGCTGTCTTTTGCTGCCTCCAGCGCCCAGCTTCTCTGTATTTCCAGGCATGCCTTCTGTATAGTGTCCTCCTATGCACGGGGAGTATGTACTTTAAAGCAGTGTGACAGCGCCGTGCACTGCTCTTGTGCTTCAGCGCCAGCACCTGCAGGTGAGTTCTGTCTGTCACCAGCCCTTCCCAGGCTACTTCCTCTCATGGGCTGAGGCCATTTTGGGTGGGAATCACCCTTCACTCTAGGCAAGCACCCAGCAAGTTGCTCTGCCCAGCAACAATAAGCATCTTTAGCTTTTCTAGCCTTTCATTTTCAGGTATTTTCTCTAGCTCTGCAATAGTTTTGGTGGGTGACTTCAGCACCCTCTTTTTTTAAAACAACCTTTTAAAAATATAGTCACCAGAACTGCTTGCAGTATTCATGTATTAGTCCTATCAGCTCTGGATACTGAGGTAAAATTGTATCTTTCTCATGATTACTTTCATTTCTGAACCCAATTATTTTTTCCTGGTTATGAAATACTGGCTTTTTGGCTATCTAGTAAACTCTATCTCTTTTTTTTTAAAGAAGAACTTCCACTTTTTCATATTTTGTCTAAAATTTTCTCCTTTGTCATTATCACTCAGAATATTCCTCATTCAGGGAAACTGGCCATTTTGAAGCTCTTACTTTTGTATGTTTAATTATTGGTTTGGTCTGTTTTCTTTGCCCATATTTAATGTAATCAAGTTACACTCACAGGTCCCTGAGTAACCATCACTAACCAGCCCAGATGGTTCATCATGTTATGCATCTTTCTCTGCACCGAGGAGACTGTCTCATACTGGATATATTACCTGAATAGGCATGTATATATTTTTGACGAAGTCTAATCACCAGGGATCCTACTTTTCTCCAATTTAAAAAAAATCCCCAATTTTCAGTTTGAAAAAAGTAACCCAAAATCCACATTTTCCTGTGATTAAAATGAAACACCACTAATATATGTTAATGGTGTTTTGTATATTAGTGGTGTTTCACTTTAATCAAGGAAAAATGTGGATTTTGGGTTACTTTTTTTAAACTGAAAATTGGGGATTTTTTTTAAATCAGAGAAAACCAGGATCTCTGCTAGTCACAAAGCAGAGTGGTGCAATGAATTATTTCAATAAAGATACATTAACTGAAGCTGCCCTTTGTCATGACGAGGGAAAAAAATCCTTTTTTTTTGTTTTTGTTTTTTGTTTTTAAAGTCCAAAGATGATTCAGAATGTCTGTATAAACCCCCCCCCCCAAAACTCCAGCAGTATCATCCCTTAAACATGTAGCCACTAGTAAACCTGTTGGGAAATGTTTAACCTCACACTCTGTAAACAAAACAGAGCCCCCAAGTCCCTCCAAAACTAAAAACAACAAAAAAACCCGAACCCCTTGATCTTTACTAAACACAGGGTGACAAACCCATCCAGGCCACCAGGCCAGAGCTGGACCCACCAGTGGTAGCAAGACAGGCAGCAGTGGCACAGGGTTAGAGTAGCCGTTGTTTGTCTCCATGCGGCCAACACATGGCTCCAATGGGGCTCTGTAGCTGGGAATTCAGAAGTGAACCCCACTCTTGAATTCAAGTCCTTTGGAGGGGGAGGGACTGAAGAAATGTTTTTCTTTGGTGGGTCATTATTTCTGCTAACTGGGGTTCTGTTTAGCAGGTATTGCCTACTTACAATTAATAAAGATAATGGTTTGCAAAAAGTCATGACAGCTGACCATCTGGATTTTTAAGGGCAGACTCTCTGCTGGGCAAAGTAGAGAAGTATAATTATGGAGAGCTGATCATGACTCCCAGGATCTGGGGTCTGGTTTTGGTGCATTCCCATAGGAATTAAAAACTGTGGTAGGGTGCTCTAAACTTCACTGGGTAGTAGCAGTTAATGGTGTCCTGAGCATGTGTGTGGTGGAATTTAGGGAACATTTTCTATCCCTTTGAGGTACGGAGAAGATATATTTTCTGAAAAGATAAGAATCTGAATATTATAATCTAAAAGTAATATTTATTGGCCATCAGGTTTATATTCATTTTCATCTGTCCTTTTGAAAAGGTAGAAAAAATAGAGTCCTTGAAAAACATGAAAGATGGCTCTCATAGTAAAACAACAGATATTCTGTCCGTAACATACAACCCATTTTAGACTTGAGGGAGGGTACTGTTATACCTGAAAGCTTGTCAAATCTATCCCACCCATGCAGTTTTTCCACTAAAAGATATTGCTCACAAAAACTCTTGCCTCTCATATACTTCATGTACCATCACAGCCAGAACATCACTTTAGCACTGCTAACTCATTTTAGAATTTTAGGAGCCATTTCAGAAGTTCTTTACTTCTTTCATGGTTTTTTTTCTTGTATCTTCTATTGTAAATTAAGTGTCAGAACATGTTTTTCCTACTTTCACGTTCTTCTGTAGATAGCTTTCCTTAAGAATCTGAAATTGTATAAGAAATGTAATACAATCCATGCTATAAATGGGAAGGAGAACAACAGTTTTCAGGGTTAATGAAAGTCAGGGAAAAGTAACACAAATAGGTATGGTGAGAAAGTGCTTGTTGATTTCTATTACTACTTACACTGTGTGCATAAGGCTTGATTATGACACCTTGAATCAGGGAGTAGTACCATAGTCCAGAACCTGTGGGAGGATCTGATGATTTGGCCTTTAATATTGTACTTAATGTTCTGTATTTTCAAAACACTCTGCAATGAACAAGTTTACCCTTACCTTGGACAATGAAACCTTCCCTTCTTGAACGTTTTGATAGGTTACATTCCACAATGTATTATAGGGGTTGGTGATAGCAGAATAATATTAGTGATAATTATTTTGTTGATTAAACTAAACATCATTTTCTAATTTTATATAAAATGTGATAACTTTATGTAAAAATGATTATTTCTGTGTGGAACCAGTAAAAAGAAAAATAAAAGAATATGCATTTGTAAAACCAACCCTCTTGATAGCTGTCCTTTCAGTGAATGTTCTCTGGGGGCTGCTGGGACATTAGGGAGTAGAGGCTTTTGAAAATGTCAACAATGTTTTTTCAACAGAAATGCTGGTTTCTTCAAAATTTAAATCTTTTATAAAATATCATTAGTATTGAAGTTCCCACGAGGGAAACTGATTCAAAGTAAAACTATGTAAGCTTTAGTTTGGGAAAATATTGTTCATGTTGATTTCCAATTTATACATTTTTCTGTTTTCATAATTTTTATGCGATTAAACATGTAAGAATACTGACATATCATGAAAGAAAAGAAAAATGGATAAGTACATTAAAAGGGAAGTCAAAGCAAAATTTCAGACTTGTTCCTAAATAAAAAAGATGAAATTTTCAAACAATATTTAAACAGTATGCAATATTAAGGGAAGGTCTTAATGATCATTTGAGGTCTCTATATTTCTAAACTGTTTGGTAGTCAGCACTGGAAATTTATACTAGTAGTCTAGTCATTGTAAGAAAGCCCATGTAAGATTCTAACCAGTGATTCGGACACTGGCACAGCTTTACATTTTTTTTTCTATATACCTTCAGGTAGCAGCACTGCTTGTGATTGCTGCCATGTTGGGGCACCTGGGGCATCCCACAGAAGCATGGTGGGGCTCTCCAGTGTGCTCAGCAGTGAACCCGGAAGTGAGAGGACCAAAAGTACTTCCAGTCCACTTCTGGGTCTGCCAGGGAGTGTGCTGGGGGGCCCCCCTGTGTTCTCCCAGCCCAGCGATCAGCCATGGGGGGACCCTGGGGGCCCCCCAGACCCAGGAGGAACAAGTTACCAAGCTGGGGGGCCCCCCTGCATGCTTCCCAGTGGACCAGGCAGCGGACTGGAAGTGCTTCTGGTCCATTTCTGGTCTGCTGCCGAGCGCTTTAGGTAGGCCTCCCGTGCTTCTGTGGAACACTGCATCTGCCCAAGCACCACAGCATTCAGAGCCCCTGCTACCTAGAGGTATGTAGAAAAAACATTTAAAGCTGTCTCTATGTTTGAATCGCTGAATCTATCCAAATGTCTCCGAATTGATTTGGTGAGATTAAAGGGTTCTCTGATTCGATTTAGAGATTTGGCCACCAAATTGGGCCAAATCTCTGCCAAATTGAATCAGGGACTGACGCTTTACACAGCCCTACCATCCACAGGTGCTGCCAGTGGTGCCTTTTTGCAGGGGTGCACTGCCAAGCTCAGGGGGTGCACCCCCTATACGTTGCCAGTGTTTATATAGATCCTATTATGTTTTCATCTGCATCTTATTAAAACTTAAAATTAATGATTCGACATTCTAGTACAGGTGTCTATAACTCCATGCACTCTCATATATTTATCTTATTCTGGCTTTTGTGAAACTACTTTTTCAATATGGGTCTCTCTAATTGTTCTGAATATTTCTCCTTTCTTCCATAGGTTGTGTAGCCCGGACAGTAAATTCTCCCAATCAGCATCTGCTAAAAACTGATGATGTGGTCAGCTGCTGCTTAGATCTGAGTGCCCCAAGCATCTCATTCCGGATTAATGGTCAGCCAGTTCAAGGAATGTTTGAGAATTTCAACATAGATGGGCTCTTCTTTCCAGTTGTCAGCTTCTCTGCAGGAATAAAGTTAGCATCAATTACAGTTTTCTTTAGTCTGTATTTCCAGTAAACATATTGAATTATTCCCTTAATGCCTTCACACTCATTTCCCTTTTTTGAATGAACTCTGCCTTCTTGGCACATTGCCTATTCTATGGACAAATAACAAGGGGACTCCTGAGGAGATCATCTGTCTCTTATTTTTCAGAATACTAATATCTTCAGATATTACAGTGGTATATGCAGTGTAAGGTTTGCAAACTTTTTCCTCTCCTTTTGAGTCATCAGTACATCTTAGTACCATTCATTGTCTGACCAACCTTTGAACCAAATTTAATTTTACTTTAAATTAAATAAATAAATGTTACTTAAATAAAAATCTGTAATGTGAACACATGCCCAATAAATAATACATCTTCCTCAGTCCAGTCTGTATTAATTAAAAATGCACATTTTACAACTGGTCAATTAATCAGCAGTTTAGCGGTGTCTGGGATTTCTTGCTAATGCCGAATTTTCATATAATAGCATCTTCAAGTAACATGCTCTGTCATCTAAGGTTAATTTTTACTCTGGTAGTTGCTGGTCTGGCCTTGGAATTTTCTTCTTACTCTACCACAGCAATGCTCTCTAAGGGCGCCTATAGATGTGCAGCGAAGCTGCTCCGATGCACTGTAATTACGGCACATCGGAGCTGTAATTATTCAGTTAATCAAGTCTGTTGGTGCATTGTCATTACCACAGTCCAGCAGACTCCAGCATCATGTGTATCAGTGTCCCCACACTGAAAAATGGTGGTGGGGTTGCTTTAACTAAAGCATGTTCGATGCCCACCACCATTTTTCAGCACAGGGACTCTGATACCCATGATGCTCCAGGCACTTTAATTAGAGCAGCTCTCAGAGATACTCTAATTAAGAGCACCCCCATCCCAACTGCTGGAGCACAAATGCATATAAAGAAAGAAAAATGCATTTATATATTTATATAAATAAATGCCCTAAATGCATATAAAGAAAGCTGTGGGTCCCCGGGAAACTTCAGTTAGTACAAAATGCAGTAGCCTGTCTCTTTTTATCCTGGACTGCTCTTTATCCTGGACTACCCAGTGTGCTAACTATACCAAAATGCCATAGAATGATATCAAACTCAAGGTTTCAGTCCTCTCCATCAAAAAATGAATGATTTGGACTGTAAATTGAAAATAATACTAGCACTTAGAGGTAAGGACTGCTCTTAGTGGGCCTACTACCTACATAGAGTGTAACTATCTACTGTAAATATAAAGGCTATCTATGCAAAAGACCAGCTTTTGGGGGGGTGGGAAGGGGTCACTCCTAGAATATGGAACAAACACTGATATAGTTTCATAGTAGCTAGGGTCAGCAGGGACCTGAATAGATCATCTAGCCTGACCCCCTGCCACAGGCAGGAATGAATGCTGGGTTCACCAGACCCCAGACAGGTGATCATCCAACCTCCTCTTGAATTTGCCCAAGGTAGGGACGAGGACCACTTCCCTGGGAAGTTGGTTCCAGATTTTGGCCACCCTAACTGTAAAATATTGCCTCCTGATCTCTAACCTAAACCTATTCTCCATCAGCTTATTACCACTGTTCCTTGTCACCCCAGATGGTGCTGGGGAGAAAAGGGCTCTGCCTATTTGCTGTTGATGTCCCCTGATGAGTTTGTAGGCAGCCACCAGGTCCCCCCTCAGCCTCCTCTTGCTGAGGCTGAACAGGTTCAGGTCCCTCAGTCTCTCCTCATAGGGCCTGTCCTGCTGCCCTCTCACCAAGCGGGTGGCCCTCCTCTGAACCTTCTCTAGGCTGGCCACATCCTTTTTGAAGTGCGGTGCCCAGTACTGGACGCAGTACTCCAACTGCAGCCTGACCAAAGTCGCATAGAGGGGGAGTATCACCTCTCTGGACTGGCTTGAGGTGCACCTTTGGATGCATGACAAGGTATGGCTGGCCTTGCTGGCTGCAGTCTGGCATTGGCGGCTCATGTTCATCTTGGAGTCAATAATGACTCCAAGATCCCTTTCTGCCTCTGTGCTTTCAAGAGGGGAACTCCCCAGCTTGTATGTATGCTGTGGATCCCTTCTCTCCAGGTGCAGCACGCTACATTTGTCTACATTGAACCCCATCCTATGCTCGTCTGCCCACTTTTGTAGTCTGTCTTAATCTATTTGCAGCCTCTCTCTCCCTTCAAGTGTGTCCGCCTCCCCCCCACATCTTAGTGTCATCAGCAAACTTAGACAGTGTACTTTCTACCCCCTCGTCCAAGTTGCTGATGAAGATGTTAAACAGTGTGGGCCCAAGGACCGAGCCCTGGGGTACCCCACTTCTCACATCTCACCAGGTAGAGTACAACCCGTCCACCACTACTCTCTGGGTGCTCCCCATCAGCCAATTTTTTACCCATCCAACTTTGTAGGCATCAATGCCACAGTCGCTTAATTTATTGATGAGGATGGGGTGAGAGACAATGTCAAAGGCCTTCTTACAGTCTAGAAAGACTACGTCCACAGCGACACCATCACCCAAGGATTTAGTTACTTGGTCATAAAAGGCAATCAGGTTCGTAAGGCAGGACCTGCCTTTGATGAACCCAAGCTGGTTGCCCCTGAGCATGATCTCCCCTGCAGGCCCCCCACAGATGTGCTCCTTGATGATTCTCTCCAAGATCTTCCCGAGCACCAAGGTGAGGCTTACAGGCCTATAGTTACTAGGGTCCTCCTTCCTCCCCTTCTTGAAAATTGGGACCACGTTAGCCAGTTTCCAATATGAATTAAAACTTTCAGAAAATGTACCATCCTTCATTTCAGATGTCAAATGGACTACTTCAAACTTCCTTTGATAATATAAACACTATACAGAATTGATAAGATAGATATATATTATTGTACTCCAATTTTTCTTTAAGATGCAGATAAAACAACATTTTTGAGGAAGTTGAGACACAATGTTAAATGCACTTCTAAAAGGTATTTAGCTACTACAATAGTGAAGGCCATGTTAAAACTAGAATAGATAAAATTCTATGACATCAAAGATATTCTAGTTTTTCTAGAATATGGCTAAGTTTTGCCCTTGCCAGAAAACTTGATATGAAGTTAATTTCTCAGATTCATCATTATTGTTTTATGAGCATCTGTGCATGGGACTTGCATTATTTAACTTAGAATAAACATGGGTTATTCCACATTTTTGTTATATTAGAAAACCCTTAATATAAATAATAAAATGAGAGCTCTTTTTATTGTGTCCTGGAAGGATACATAGGCTATTGGAGAGAGCAAAGAATATTTTACTGAGCTTTTAGGTTTAATTTTATCAAATCTCCCAGAATTCAGGGGGTTCAAAAGTTGGGGTTGGGCTTATTTGATTATATTTTCTTTCTCCATTTCTGGATGAAAAGAAGTTATTGTCTAATTCCTTGGCATCATTCCCCATCTCTCTAAAATCATTCAGTAAAGATGCGGTTAGTTTTGCATAGTGAAGCATCCCCTGTCCCTTTGATCCCCCTTTCCTCCAACATTCCAACGCTAATTGTTAAGATACATTTAAAAAGGAAATAATGTAATGCAACATTTAGTTTGTTGCTGAGGAAAAAAAGGCTAGCCATATATTTGTACCTTTTGGGTTGTGATTGCATATATTGTTTCTGTTCTTAATAGGGTACGTTTCCTACTTGGAGGCCGCCATGGAGAATTCAAATTCCTCCCTCCACCTGGGTATGCTCCTTGCTTTGAAGCTGTTCTGCCAAAAGAGAAGCTAAAAGTAGAACAGAGCCGAGAATACAAACAAGACCGCAATGGCACAAGAGACCTGTTGGGTCCAACCATCTCTCTGTCACAAGCAGCCTTCACACCAATTCCTGTAGATACTAGTCAGGTAAAAGATTTAAATATTTGCATTCTTGCTCAGTTGCAGACTTTGCACACAGTTTTGTTAGATTTAAATTTATTAAGCTTGCACCTTGTCTTAAACTTGTGGGTTTTCCTTCTGGTAAAGTTGTAACAGCCAGGGTTGGTGTTCTGGGTAACAGGAGCTTGGCTGGCTGCTGCAGTTGGGTCAGCAGGGGCACTGGTTGCCATTCTTGTGTCCCTCCTAAGTTGGTGCCACAGGCTAGTGCCTTAGTCAGTTGTTGCTCATATATTATTGCCTTCTACGCTGTGTTTGGTACAGTTCATTCCACATCTTCAGGTAAATGCTTGTTTTATTTCATACTTCATGTCAACTAGGTCTGAGTTAGTTGTGTCATTTCAGCAGTTGCCGCTATGTCATTATTGAACTGTTTATTGCTGTAGAATTTTAAATGTAAAGGCTGGAGACCTTGTTAGACTCAGCGGGGACTTCTACACACGCACTTAACTGTGGACTTCACTAATTAGCTCTGCAGTTTCTTTGGCAATCTCTCACAGTCCAGGACAATAGTTTTCCAAAGCTGTTTTCATGGAAGATGCCTCTGCATGACTTCTTTTATCGTAGAACACTGCTGCCCATCAGCTTCCACATGGCTCTTGACAGAATGGGACCCTGATCCAATGGCAATGAGACCAACAAAACTCATTCTGTTGCCTTCATCCACCTTCACAGCTATTGAGCTTGTAACATCTCCTTCAGCCTGCTCTGCTGTTGAGGACTTGTAGACCTGTGGCTGGGGACTGGGCAGGCTTATGTTAGTGGGGACCTGTGCTTGCCATGTCATAGCACTGTCAAAGGATATATGTGGTTTTTCAGGAGGGAAAGCATTGCCATCTACTGTCCTAACCACATCTTGGTGGTGCTGCCACTGCTTGGTCCATGACTGCTAATTTGTTAGAGTTACCTCTGCTTATTTCACAGGTAACCTTCTCTGAGGGTCATTCCACTATCTGCCACTTGTGGATACACAGGGTAGCAGTACAGCCCTGCCCTGCAGTGCTCCATAGTAAAGTGTCACTGTCTACACATGCACTATTATTAGGCTGTAATAAACAAATTAACTTCAATACAGGATAGACTTGACAGCAACAGAGAGTTGTCTCCTAGCTGTTAAGGAAGGGATTGTGTAGAGGAAAATACATTGCAGCTACTCAACATGAGTAGACAACTCCCAGAATCTTCTAGATGACCCCCAGATTGGCTCAAATACCTGTTTTGCATGCTAATTAGCATGCATTGGAGAGGTGTCCATCACATGTATAGGCGCCCATTGTTGGTTTGCTGTGTGTAGCCAATAAAGCTTTGCTTGAGCTTTAATCAGTCAGATGTGCCATGGTGCAATCTTTGTAACCTCCCTGGCCCACTCCCATCTTTGAGTGGTAGTAATTTAAGTTCTACTGTAACAGATAGTAGTGTCTGGGACAAGTACTTTCCTGTGGTGGAGTTATTGACTGCCAAAATGCAAGCGTAGACTGTGATCAGGGCTGGCTGGGGCATGAGGGTGCTAAAGTGTCTGCCAGCTAGCTCCTCACTGTATTACTCTCATGCCAGTCAGACCCTCCACAGCATGTTTATCTAGGGTGGAGCTGCCTCAGGCTGGCAGGTTGAACTCCTGGGTCCCTTGCCAGCTGGGGCTGCGCCTGGAAGCAATACGGTCCGGCGCAAACAGTGCCGCGGTTTATTCAGGCACATTAATAGTGCATGTAAATGCACTGAGTGAAACAGGTTCAGTAATCTTTCTTTACTGGGATTTTAAGATTAATTCTGTTCTCAGTTATCTCGCTCTTGACAGCAAATGATATACATAAAACTTGCATTAACAATTTGCTTCTTTTGCAGCTTTATTTTTCCTTAAGGAATAATAATTTAGAAACTTTTGTGATCCCCCCCCACAAAAAAAGTGTTTCAATCTGTCCCAGTAACTACAAAACAAAATTGTTTTATTTTTGTTTTTCACTGTTGAAGTGGTTGTTTTTATTCCTGTTGAAATTCATAGGAATGTTTCCAGTCCTGCTCTGACCTTGGTATGTCCTCCAAATGTTAGCTGTAGGAAGATGATAAAGATAAAGAAGTGTTTTTGTAACATGTAAGCTGTTGAGACTTTATACTTCTACATTTCTCAACTACTATATCTTATCCAGTTCACTGAAAAATGAAACATCACCAAAGTATGAGAACCTAAGTGATTTTGAAGAGAGCTTGGCCTGTCATTTTTGGAAGAAAACAGATTATTTATATATATTCATAAAAATATATAAATATCAATACAATTAATGCTATTTGTTTTCCCTGGTTACCCTTACATAAATGTAAAGATTAAAGTGCAAAGAACTTCTGATTTAGTTTAATCAGTAAAAAATGTATGATCCTTATTATGCCTAACTTATTTTATTCTAATTAGATATACTAATAAAGTTGGTTGTGAAAGTACATATCTGGATGGTATAGTAGCGCAATTTATTTGATCATGTCTCTTTCTTACCTCTTTAGATTGTATTACCTCCTCACCTGGAAAGAATTAGAGAAAAATTAGCAGAGAACATCCATGAACTTTGGGTCATGAATAAAATTGAACTTGGATGGCAGTATGGCCCTGTATGTACCTTTTAAACGTTCACATTCATCATCTCACACTCTTTAGCTGGTAAACCATTGCTCTACTCATTGTATAGGATGGTGACATTTTGATCAGACTGGATTTCCTCCATGGCTATAGTGGAACATTTTTGGAATTCAACTGTAATTGTATGTCTTTAAAACAAAGACGTTAGTCCAAATCCTGGGTTCCATTAAGACCACTTTATGCTGTGTTTTAATGCCTGGCTATGTGGGGATTAGAAACAAACTAGCTGATTCATTCTCACTTTCTGATGAACTGATGACATTATTTTTATAGCTGATTCTAGTTCCTCACCTTGCTTTTGCTTTGGAAAGCATAGAGTC